GCCATCCCATTCATGCTTCTAAGAAAGGTTTGTAGAAATATCTACCAAGATGTGATTGGGCTGCCTAAAAATGCAAGAAGGTTACAGAGTGTTTTCTCCAAGTATGTTTCGATTGAAGTATATAGATTATCGGTTAAATGTGTCTCAAGAAGGTTCCAGCATGAGAGGATGAATCAGTTACCATTACCATTTCTGTTGGAGGAAAATGACTGGGTACAAGTGGAATGTCGTGGGCCGAGTTATTGATGAGTATCAATGCACAATGTGCAAACAGGTGAACTACTTGCAGCCTAGCATTTTAGCCGCTGCTAGGCTAAAAGATGTCTAAGGCTAAAGTGAGACTAAGTTTAGGATAGATATAAAAAGATAAGTATGTACTAAGGTAAGGAGTGTTTATTCTGAAAGAAGATGTACAGTATATGGCAAACATGCAGCTTGACACCTTATACCAGTTCATATGTATAATATGGTCAACACAGTAAAAAGAAAGGAAAATGCAATGTATAGATGTTTCTGATTTGAAATTGGAGAAGCAACAAGTAATTCCTAAAAGCTGTTACCATAGCGATTTTTTCGCAACCAAAGTATCCTTATACTGCCTTAACAGAAGTTACCGGAAGATGTTTTACAACATCGTTAAACTCGACTGAACAACTGAAGTCAATGGTTGAACTAAGAACCATCTAGCTTAGGTTTCTGAGTTGCAATGGTTAATCGAAGATTGCCTCTTCCCTCCGATGAGATATTTACCATAGTGCAATGTAACTGACATAATATATTCATTACTTAATATTATAATTATTATCACCTTATAATTAAGTGTTTTTTGCAATAGTAACTAAATAAAAATACAAGAAGATTCCAATTCTCAAATCAGTCCACAAGTTACCAGTATAATACAGGTGTAATTATAAAGATGTTCCTCTTTTTTTAGATCACTTAATTTTGAATGATGTATTAGTACACTGTGTGAAGAGTAAGATTAGCTTTTTGTGACTTTTAATTTTTTAAACTTTCATAAAGGTGGGAATACAAGAAAGGGTCAGGCAAGAGTATTAAAAGGGATGAACCCTTTCTGAGATGATTACCATATATATTCCCTGACCTAGGCAGGTATTGTAAATTAAAATAGGTCAAGTACAAAGAAAGAAGAAAGATTTTTTAATGAAAACTAGTAGAATGATGTGTTTCAGGAAAAACAAATCCTTTCAGTGTGCATCATTGTATGTTTCAATTATCGTCAGTATTGTAAAGTAATTTTAGGGTTTACTCCTAATGGTTGAAATCATTGTTTCTCTTCAGTAAGCATACTGCGCCTTTTGCAAATTATTTCTATAAGTGTAAAAGAAACATTTTCATGACACTAGACTTTGAATATTATATATTGCAGATTTTTATAATGTATTTGGAAATTTTAGATTTTGAAAATACGTAATAATTGTTGCAGTAGTTGTTTGGCAAGAGTTTCTTATTTTCTGAGTGTATGGTTCTGCTTCAAGACAGGTGTAGCAGCCATTTAGAATTATATGGGCTTAAGTCGGTATGTAAATGAAAGTGAAAATATACATGGTGCTAGGTCTCTTAAGAGAGAAATAAAGTCTTTGGTGACTCTAAATCTCAGAAACTTGAATTTACAAGACATTCTGGCATGTCTTATTAAAGATGTTTAAAAGATAAACTGTGGAGCTTTGAAAAAGCTCGTATTGTTGCCTTGTGTTGTTCTAATCTACGAGTGTGAATTCAGTGTCTTTGTTGTCTAAAGTGTAAATAATATCAGATGTATAAAGGTTATTATTAAAGTAAGTTTTCTAAGAGACTGGTGATATGTCAGATTTGAAAGTTCTAGTGTACTTCAAGTCACCTGTTTATATGCTAAGTTCCCAGTGAACTCCAGCATTTTAGTTGACATTTCTTCATTCTTGTTCTCTTTGGTTAACTAATGCAATAGTGGAAATGCCAAATTTAAGAATGCAGCATTTTGTTTGCAGTGAAATTAAAGGCTGTAAGACTTTAAAGCAGTACCTGAAGTGTGGCAATTGGACATTACAAATAAAATTACTTGTTGGAAAAAGAATTAAAATTGCTCTTCCTCCTGAAATAACCTGGAGTTCAAAAATTCCTTTGTGGCATGATTTTAAAAATTAAGATATGAATAATGCAATAATAATAATGTATTTTTTCAAGTTTTATTTGTATAAACACATTTGTGTGTTTTATTGAATAATAATTTCAAATTCTTAATTTAACAACCTGTACCAAACGCTTGTATTTTTTCATACAAAAGAATTAGGTATAAAAATAACATTAATGAACAGCCAAAATCAATATACCTTGATGGCTTTATTGTGGGTTGTAGCCTGGTAGAATTTTACCTACATTTCAGAGGTCCTTGCTGCTTCTGTCATCAGGGTGATGAGTAAGTGCACAGCTTATTCACAGAGCTACAACCTAGAAGACAGCTATCTTCATACTCGCCGCCGTGAGATCCTCAAATCCTACTGAATATACCTTCATGTTTCGCATAAAAGTAAATTAACTTTAGTAAGTTACCTATATTTTTATATCCTGATGTAACATTTAAGATGCACTGCAACTGCTCACTTCTTTATGACTTTTCAAACGTTTATGTGGTAGAATTATGTTCCTTTGTTTCAGATTATTGTTGTAATATGTGAATACAATATTTGATCAACAGTTAATTGCAGAGCTTGAATAAGGAAGTTTAATTAGAATGTTTGGTTTTATATTAATTTGTAATAGTTCTGTAAAGAATATCAACAATCAATGATGGCTGTGATTTCACATCAAACGTCTGAACACTGATTCCATCCCATTTTAACTGTTAAAGTGAAAGGTACTAGGTAACATAGAGACAGGATAAAGAAGGGGTGCTGTCACTGCTTTTGCTAAGGATTGTTACAAAGTAATTTTAGTGGTTTCTCTATACCAAGTATATTCCAATTTGTATCTCCCTGTATAGTAGTATTAATATATAGGCCAGTTCCCACCTTGCTTGTCTTATGAGAAAAAATGGAATTATTTCTTGACACAACATATTTTTTCATTTCCTTCTTTTGTGAAATGTTTCACCTGTATCTTTTTATCAACAGACCACCAAGCCTTAAATTTAGTTTCTGAAGAGTTTATGTGTTGTTAGAGTAATAAAAGTTACACACAATTATCTGAATATTTTTGTGTAGTATAAAATTATGAGAACAAACAAGTAAAGTATAAATTGGTGAAGCTCTCTTTAGAACCACATATTCAGAGATGAGTTTGACATATATTTTGAATAAGAACTGTTTTTGATTGTGACATTACATTTAATCCATTCTTCTTATGCATTATAAATTCTTTCTATAAATTATTACATGTTGTTTATTCATAATATGTATGAACACTATGAGAGATGACAGTTTTAATATGTTATATATGCCCATTTAATGCAGTTAACACATACACATTAATGGTAGAGGTTCCCCAGTGACTTGTGGTATGAGTATGGTTGGAAATGTACAAGGGATCCATTTCAGATCATACAGTTGAGTTTGCAAAGTCTGATCTGTGGCACTATATAATCCAAATCTCATTCTTCTGCTAGATGTTTTTTAAT